AAAACTAAATTAGAAAAATCTTTTTCGTTAGAGGTAAGATCTTTTAATTTATTGATGGCGATGATATCGTAGCTTTTCCTGAAACAGAAAAACAAATTATTTGAATTTTAGCGCATTGCTATATGGCCTGGATCGCGATCACCAGATTCGCCTCAATATAAACTCATTCAACCAAAAGCTCTTGATCAAATTGAGCTGTCAGCTAAAAATTTACGAAATAAAGCCTGTGACAAGAACTGATTTAATCTTGATCTAATTTGTGAATTGCAATTCCTATGTTTCCCTTCATTTCGGTTTGCTAAATCGGAAAAAAGGAAAAAAAGGGTTAAATATAGGCGGAGACAGCGAGAGAAACCTGAAAAGGGACTGGGTACTGGGGAATGCTGACCTTTCCCCTAGTCTCTCGCTCGGTTCCTTCCGTCCGCCCGTTTGTCAATTTTTTCTATTTAGCCTTGTCCCAAGTTAAGCTGATGACCTCGCAGGACAAATGTATGTCGTCAATAATGTTACGATCGAATCTGCCATCAATCGATTTGAATACAAATACCGGCGCTCTTTTTGCCCGCAAACAGTTAAATAACTGTTACAGAAATTAACGAATAAGAAGAGAGTAGAGATATGACTACTTATTAAGAAATTAAAAAGATTGAATACTAATAATTTGACCGGGGCATTTCTTCTTTCATTTCCTTGGTTCGTTAAACATTTCGTTTAGTGCCAGTTCAAAAGTCTAACTCTTGGCAAAAGCGATACTGAGAATGGAATACGGGTGAAGCCCGAAAGGACTTACCATTAGTCGACGGTTAATTTCTCGCTTTCTTCCAAATTCAACCGGTGGAATATACGAGGGTCTATCTTCATCTGCACTGAGTACGTTTTCCTTGAAAAAAAAAGTTATAATTTTTTTAATAGTGTTGCACACTAACACAACAAACCACTAAGTTTTTTCCTCATTATCTTTACCCCGCGACAAGCTGTGTTACTGAACAAAGAAAATATACCAGATTGCTCTCAAAATGACATCCGTAACGGAGAAATGAGACATAGAAAAGTAGATCCTTATAATAAAAAGTCTTTTGTTTTTGCAAGATATGGTTTTAATTCATGTGACTCAGTGTAAGTCAGAAAATTTAGAGGCTTATGGAAAAAACACTCAACGTTCCTAAGTCAAAAAGTCTATTTACCTGAAGTATGTCCTCAGCGTTCCTTTTTCTCCCATATTCAGGCGGTGGAATATAGGGCGGTCTTTGCGCGTCTGACAGTACAACCAAGCCAAAGCTAAGGATTAAACACAAAAACCACGATTGCATCTCCATGACTTAATGAATCAACAATAAACAAGCCGAGTTATATGCCTCAACGGTGAGTTGCTTTCTACTAATGGGAGGCCTTTATTTATAGTGAAATTCATTGAGTCATCTAAACAAAAAAGCCACACACCTGCTCATCTCTTTCACCCAAAGTGGGTTTTCTTTTCCAAGCGATTTCCTGTATATGCCCCATTAAGACATGGTTTATATCCTTGTTAGGTGAAATTTTATCTGTTGGTTCCACGAGGGGATGGCTTTGAATTGAGATTGTGATTAAATTCCTAATTTCCCGATTTCCGACGCGTTCCATTGTTGAAATCATCAGGAAAACGTTATTAAATCTTTACTGATGACCTTCCTTTTTTTGTTCATTCCTTCTATACTAGTTTTCTTTTATAGTTTTCACATTTAACCGCAATATGAAAGAAACTATGCACCCCTGTCGCAGGTATTTAACAGCTACTTAGGAGATAAGATATTGAGCTTGACGCTCCTAACATGTCATGGACACAATTAACTATTGAGTGTTAATTTTATAAACATTCAACGACGCATTTTAATAAAGATGAGATGTTTTTTTAATTTGTTGATCAATGAAATAATTAAGCTTTTCGAGCCACAGTTTTTTTTTTTAACGTGAAAGGATTAGAACGTCTTTTATCTCGAAAAGTGGACCATGCAGTTGTGAATAGATAACCAAGGGCGAGGGAAATTCTCCTCGACGTGTAAGTCTCTTTCTAGAACTGAAGAGAAACTTTAGGATAACAAAGGGTGGCCGTAGAGAAGAGGCCTTATACAAGCTGTTGGAAATTGCTTATCAGATTTAGGTGTTTCGAGAAAATAAGGAGGGTCACCATTGAAAGATGATCTAAGTGATGGATGATCAGAATAGATAAAGAAAAAAACAGGCCACTATGTAATTTGCACAGCTGAGTTAACTTAAAGGTATAGTTAGGTCGTAAAGGAGAATTTTTTTGATCTTTTTTAAAATCAACTTTACACTAACCACAGTAATTTAGTCGTCTATTGAAACTATTACGTCCTAAATTCATTCTTCACTCGATTGGCGTCAAATTTGCCAACAGAAACTTTTTAAGATCGTTATTAGGCACTTTTTAAACCTTTACGCACCATCATAGCTGTTTATCATGTCGCTTGCAAAACCGAAATGTTACTGAAGGAAAAAGCTTTTTTAAAAAAAATGGCTCGTAAACTCCTTCTGTAAGATAAAGAAAAACGGAGTTTTAAAATGGAAAAAAAAACTAAGCACAAAAAAATTAAGACAATAAAAGAAAATGGCCATGAAGCACTGTTCAATATTTACAGTAGATAAGGATGTATATAGGGTCCCAAGTAAATTTTTAATTGAAGGAAAAACCTGGCAGGCGCTGTTTTCGCGTTGTTACCCTATCGCAACCCACTTGTCCCGCGTCTGTCTTTTTTGAGGCTAATCTTCCCACCTTTGTCATATAGATCAAAGAGCCCTCGGTTAAAACACAATTGAACGACAAATGTAAAGGGTACTGTAGATTCGATAAAACGTCGAATATGCTCGGTTTTCGACATAAATAGCTTTAAAAAAATTTTGCCGGTAGAAAATGTTGGATTACCAGCCCAAAGGAAAGAAAACCGTTGCAAATTTTATTCATTATATATTTTTATTTAATCACTGAAAGAAAAAAATTGACAACCGAGAAGTTAATTGTTTTTCTTTCACGATTTTTTGAAGAAAAAAAAATTAAGGGAGTCATCGCAGACTTCAGCTTTACAATACTACCACACAGTGACATTATAAATCCATGATTATTTTACGGACACGTAAAACACAAGCTTTCATTAATTTACACTCATCGTCAAGAGGCATATAACGTGTTTGTTGCAAGCAAATAAACTACTCAGTACTCAGTACTACTACTGAAGTTTTTTAATAAATAGTATTCAGTTTCAAGCTTTCATTATTAGAAAAAAGAAAAAGAAACTAAGCGAACTTCAAGAATATTAATAAGTTATTTTATGCTGGAACGTACACAGCTGGATACACATCTCACTCTCACTAGTACTGTGCTTCACATTTCAATGAAAAGGAAACAGACTCCTATCACATTGCATAAAGTTTAGATTGAAGAGATTCTATCTCTGGCCTTCGGTTTCCGTATCCGTTAAAGATAAACAAGTATTTTTCTCAGTCACTTTCGTTGAACCCAATACAACGCACAGCTCGCTTTACACGTGGTTTTCTACGTTGGCTGTCAATGAAATATACATAATGGTTGACTACATTAACAATATTCGAAAGAAAAGTTAAAATAAATTTTTGATTCTGCATCTTTCTGTAATTTTCCTTTAACGATAAATAACTATCCTCTCACGACAGTTACTTAGGCAGACTTAGTTACTGATCGCAACGTTTTTATCGCGTACAACCGGTCTGTAGGTCTTTACCAGGCGAGGGTGTCAATTTCCTTTTTACCGGCCTCAATAGACCTATTCGGCTAACTCAATGTTGTACCCAATTCAAACCCTTTGGGAATAAAACGTTTTTTTCAGGAATTTCCATATCGTTTAATTGTGAATGCCACATTATAATGCAAATACAATACACAAAGAATCTTAACCCCGGGAGATTTAAATTGGGTACAACATCGAGTCAGCCGAATAGGACTATGCACAGCTCGCTTTAAACTTGGTCTTATCAGTGTAAGTTGCCAATTAAATACAGTCGAACCTCGTCCATGGCGAGCCCCCCTCGCGAGCGACCATAACCCATAAACGACCGCCAATCCAAAACACCAAAATTTTCCCAGTCAAAGCCTCACAGTTGGACCTCATGTAAGCAACCGCGAATACTTTTTGGGCCTGACGGTTAATGATTTTCCATTGTTTTTTAAGCGGTCACTGGACGCATTCTCTGATCTCTATGTTAGCTGTGTGTACTTAATGATATGGCTACTCAAAATTTACCATGTCAACTTTAGAGACAACATGGAGCTACACATGTCGTATTATTATTATTACATGCAATAAATTATCCTCATAAAGTAGATGTGCCTGGACCGGTTAGCGTTAGATAACATCGAGTGAAGCCAGATTGAAAGTTGGACTTAAGTTGTTCTTCATGTAATTTTACGGAAAGAAACAATCTGACTTCAGCCGATGTTACCTAATGCTAACCTTACAAGAATCGAACCACAGGGTGCCTCGTCCGACAAGAGGTCCAGGCGGTTAGCATTAGGTAACATCGGCTGAAGTCAGATTGTTTCTTTCCGTAAAATTACATGAAGAACAACTTAAGTCCAACTTTACTGTGTAATATAAAAGTAAAATAGAAAAACTCCAATGTGATGCTTTGAACCCGGGTCACTTGCTTTATAGCCTACATCCATATCCACTACACCATCGAGGACTGAGGGTCTTAATGGGGTTAACCGATAGGCGTAAAACGGCCAAAAATTTAGTCGATAGCCGTAAAAATTGAAAAATTTCAACCGTTAGCCGTAAATAGGGTAAAAAAAAGTTAACCGTAAAATAAATTGTTCCCTAGATTTGCTACTTTTAAGGAAGGTACTAAACTCACTTATGGTTGCGTTTTTTATTTCGCGGCTAGTTTGGCTCCGTACGCACGTTAGGTAAAGCGCCTTTTAGGTGAAGACCAAGACCCATTTCCATTTCGGCCGCTCTCTCGGGGAACTT